ATGTATCGATTCAGCGGCTTCCTTCCGCTGCTTCTCGGTTTCGAAGCACGACTAATTCCTCCTCTTGTCCTTTTTTTCTCCATTACTTTTGTCTTCCCTATGATGAACAATGAATAAACGTTCGAAAGAAACTTGTGAAAGACAAAACCAAGCAACACGTGAATGATGTTTACACGACTAATTCGTTATGAACTATATAAAACATAGAAGTATATGTCATATTATAATGAAAAAAGTAACTAGCGACATATACTTCACTATTTGGAACTAAAAGGGGCCATAATTAGGTCGGTAAATTGACAAGTAGTAGGATGAGACAGGTAGTCTGTCTGTGCGCGCTCGGCAGCCCGAGAAACGCGCCGAGAGCGCTTGCTCCAAACCGGTTTATAACACTAGAAAAAGGTTTCGGTCACCTTTCTAATGGATGAATTTTGATTCTATACACTTGAAAGAGTAAGCCAAAAAAAAAATTTTCGATTTTTTGAAAGTACAAAGGTGGTATTCTGCCTTAAGACAAACATGACAGAAAAAATACTATTAATACACTGAAAGAAAAAAATATATAAAAAGTTTGTTTTTAATTTGTTTCATGGACACTATATATTATAACGTATTTACTTTAATATAAATTATTTTACTCAAATTGAATTAACTATTACTTTCCTAAAGAGTTACGTTTTATAAAAATGTATATTTTCTCATTTGGAAAAAGGGTTTTCTCAATGTATATATTAGCATAAGTAAGTATATAACATAAATAGTATATTATATTATATAAGTAGTATATTATATTACTATATCAGTACTATATTAGTATAATTTAATGGAAGAGGAAGGGTACACTAATAACACATATTTACTTGTACTATATTAGTACAAATAAATAAACATATATGTACTTATACTATACTAGTACAAATAAATATTTTCTATGTTTTAGATTTTTTCTCATTGGTATATATTAAGTGGTATATATTAAGTTCTACAATATCATATTAGATATTAAATACATCTCGTAGGTGGAAACTATAGGAGACGCATATATGGTCGTGTCCGGTCTTCCAGAAAGGAACGGTGATGAACACGCGAGGGAAATTGGATTCATGGCTTTAGCGATATTAGATGCAGTCAAATCGTTTACCATAATGCACAAACAGAACATTCAATTGAGTGTTCGCATCGGCGTGCATAGCGGCCCAGTCTGTGCCGGAGTGGTGGGACAGAAGATGCCTCACTATTGTCTATTCGGTGACACCGTGAATACAGCATCCCGGATGGAGTCTTCCGGTCTTCGTAAGATAAATTCTCTTGTATATTAGAAAAATAACACGAATCAACAAATCTGCCATAATAATTTTCATCTTTCTTCAATTCCAATTTTTCTCATTTATATGTCGAATTTTTCTCGTTTATGTGTCAAAACAAAAATATTTTATTTATTTGTTGACATAAAAATGATAAAGAAAAAGTTATTTTTAACTGTGATTTATAAAATATAGATTGTACTTAATTTTTGTGTGAATTAATAATATAAGGTACGGAAATAAAATACAAAACATACAAAACATTTTTTACTACAATTATTTATGTTTAGTTTTCATACTTTCAAAAAACTAAAATTTTCCTTTTCTTCCTTCAAAATCGGTACAAATTTTTGTAAAATCCCGTGATTTTAAAGGTAAAAAATTAAAATACATTTTACTTATCAAGAGACATTGTAGCGTCTCGTGCCAAGCAATGCGCTACAATAATTTAAATGCATAAGCGAGAACAAACGCGAGACCAATCACGTATATTTACGCGACGCATCTAGTAGATCGAAAACAAGAGTTTCTCGCTCAGTTATAACGACTAATCTGATTGAATTCTAAGTGAGTTCAATCGATTTTACAGGATTAGTTACATTAAAAAACTATTTTTATTTTACCTTTATATATTTATGCAAATATTTCATCGTAACGTTAGAAATTAGCCAAGTCTTATCACCTTTATAAAAAAATATTAGGGGCGATGACGACGACGACAATGACAAGAGAAAGAGAGGGAAAGGAAGAAAGAACAATTGAGTTTTTGTGATGAATTTACTGATGGAATTATTCCCTGGAAACGAGAAAAATAAGCATAAATTTTCTCATAATTAATATGAATTGTTTTTATAACCTTATATAAACATTTTATTTTTAAACTAACCTATACTTCCCTCTAATTTATTATAATGTTTAATTAAAAATTTAAAAACAATAATATTATCACTAGTTCGCTTATATCCATTATATCAATATCAGTCACATTTTGATTGTTGTTATCTCTTACAAAAAAATATTACTGATTAATTAGTAATAAATTACTATTGCTCAGTATTTTTATTACTAGTACCAAATGATTTTGCCTACTCAAACTACAGAGCTATTAACTATTACCCATATAGCAATAGACCTTCATAGGATATCCTAATTTGATCAGAATGGTCCCAGTTCTAACTTGAAACGTAATCCATAGGATTACCGGAGGACACATTTCTTTGTCATAAATTATATCAGACATCCTCATGGCATCTGCAGAATGTTCTATTTTAACTCGAAGCAACGTTAATTATTACTTATAAAATGTATTGTTTTCCTTTATTAACATATATCTAACACAGACAATTTACATATATATATTAATATTATTTACAAGTAAAGTAAGAAATTATGTTCATAAGAAGAAAAATAATCGTCAACAAATTTTATCCAAGGAATGTGTAAAGAACGTCCCCAGGCAGCAAGCCGTCGTTATTTTGACACCTCTGTGAAGTTAACCCCCACACTTTTAATAAAAAAATTGTTTTTTGCACAGAATTACGCCAAATCGTTTGTAGAAATATGTAGTGAAGGACTTTCCGTTTGTAGTAAAAAAATAAAAAAGTTACGGGGGGGTGCAAAAATCGTCAGCCCCCCAAAATGAGGGGCTGACTTAAAAAGTGACCTAATCGACGCTAAATAATTTGTAGAGGTTTGTAGTAAAGGAATTTTCGTTTGTAGTTGTCCAGAAACAAAATGGCGGCCAATTTAATATTCAAGGGTGCTATATTTCCACCACCTTGTGAGGGGCTCTACTCTAAACCAACTATATCGAAGCCAAATAATTCGTAAAGGTTTGTAGTGAAGGAATTTTCGTTTGCAGTTGTCCAGAAATAAAATGGCGGCCAAATAAATATTTAAAGATGCCGTATTTCCACCCCCTCGTGAGGGGCTGTTCTCTAAACCGACTATATCGACTCGAAATAATTCGTAGAGGGTTGTAGTGAAGGAATTTTCGTTTGTAGTTGTCCAGAAAAAAAGTTACAGCCCCCTTCGAAATTAAGGGTGGCATAATTCCGCCCATTCGTGAAAGGCTGTTCCCTAAACCGGCTATATCGACTCGAAATAATTCGTAGAGGTTTGTGATGAAGGAATTTTCGTTTATAGTGGTCCAAAAAAAAAGTTACAGCCTCCTTCGCAATTAAGAGTGGCGTAATTCCGCCCCCTCGTCAGGCGCTGTTCTCTAAACCGACTATATCGACTCGAAATAATTCGTAGAGGTTTGTAGTGAAGGAATTTTCGTTTATAGTGGTCCAAAAAAAAAGTTACAGCCTCCTTCGCAATTAAGAGTGGCGTAATTCCGCCCCCTCGTCAGGCGCTGTTCTCTAAACCGACTATATCGACTCGAAATAATTCGTAGAGGTTTGTAGTGAAGGAATTTTCGTTCGTAGTTGCCCAGAAAAAAGTTAAGGGTGGTGGAATTACGATATTAAATTGGGCGCCATTTTGTTTCTGGACAATTACAAACGAAAATTCCTTCACTACAAACCTCTACGAATTATTTGACTTCGATATAATCGGTTTAGAGAACAGCCCCTCACGAGGGGGCGGAATTACGCCACCCTTAATTGCGAAGAGGGCTGTAACTTTTTTTCGGGACAACTACAAACGAAAATTCCTTCACTACAAACCTCTACGAATTATTTCGAGTCGATATAGTCTATTTAGAGAACATCCCCTCACGAGAGGGCGGAATTACGCCACCCTTAATTTCGAAGGGTACTGTAACTTTTTTTCTGGACCACTACAAACGAAAATTCCTTTATTGCAAACCTTTACAAATTACTTCGAGTCGATATAGCCGGTTGAGAGAACAGCCCCTCACGAGTTAGTGGAATTACGCCACCCTTAATTTCGAAGGGGGCTGTAACTTTCTTTCGGGACAACTACAAACGAAAATACCTTCACTACAAACCTCTACGAATTATTTCGAGTCGATATAGCCGGTTTAGAGAACAGCCCCTCACGAAGGAGCAGAATTAAGCCACCCTTAATTTCTAAAGTGGCTGTAACTTTTTTTCTGGACAACTACAAACAAAAATTCCCTCACTACAAACCTCTAAGAATTATTTCGAGTCGATATAGCCGGCTCAGAGGACAGCCCCTCACGAGCGGGTGGAAATACGCCACCCTTAATTTCGAAGGGTACTGTAACTTTTTTTATGGACCACTACAAACGAAAATTCCTTTACTGCAAACCTCTACAAATTATTTCGAGACGATATAGCCGGTTCAGAGAACAGCCCCTCACGAGTTAGTGGAATTACGCCATCCTTAATTTCGAAGGGGGCTGTAACTTTTTTTCGGGACAACTACAAACGAAAATTCCTTTACTATAAACCTCTACGAATTATTCCGAGTCGATATAGTCGGTTTAGAGAACAGCCCCTCACGAGGGGGCAGAATTACGCCACCCTTAGTTGCGATGGGGGCTGTAACTTTTTTTCTGGAAAACTACAAACGAAAATTCCTTCAATACAAACCTCTACGAATTATTTCGAGTCGATATAGCCGGTTCAGAGAACAGTCCCTCACGAGGGGGTGGAAATACGCTACCCTTAATTGCGAAGGGGGCTGTAACTTTTTTTCGGGACAACTGCAAACGAAAATTCCTTCACTACAAACCTCTACGAATTA